AATCCCTGGTTATGGTATTACGAGGAAAAAAACAGAACAAGCAGGTTAGGAAGCAACTCATGCAAATTCAGGCAAAACTATGCACGTATTTATGACGGCAAATGTATTGTGAGGAGCACAATACAGCACATAACTGCAATATGGTATGTATCCCAGGCACGCTGTAAACACGCAGGATATTAACACATGTATTTGCATCCGAGAATAGCACAAATTTTTAGCTGTTAGATGTAATACACATTAGCTACAGGCAGTTACAAATTGTGGTCTAAGTCCACACATTTGTAACCTGCAGTACACATCTTCATAAAACTTCTCTCTCAGGGAAATAAGCAAAAGACTGAACTTGAAGTAAAATACACATTCAGCATCAACAGACTCTGGAAATTCCCTCCTTCTTCCAACCCCACCCCCAAACTCTCAGCCTCTGAGTCTAAACCACCACAGGCCGATTTATCCAGAAGCATTTCAGTCACCTGAGTTCCTTCCCCCCATCCAACACTACTGGGCTGTTTGGGCAGACCGAGTAGGAGAAGCCCAGGTAGAAAGGAGGAGGGGGGAAATCCACTCAAAGCCAAAAAGGAGGAAAACCACTGCCTGTTCAGGCAAGGATGTGTGTTGAGGCTAAAGATCTAGTTTACCAGCTTTTTAAGTTTATCTGGCTGAAAAAGACTGCCAAACTTCACACTTGTTAGTAGAACTGCACAAGCTGAAAAACTTGGGAGTCATGCCATGGATTGTCTTCCCTTCGGTTTTGGGACCCCCATGCCCTAACCTTCCCCGTTAACCTGACTGAAGCAGGACGTACAAGCATTACGTGACTTTGCAACAACTCCTAGTTCACATTTATGCAGGTACTCACAGAGCAGCAGCACCAGAGATGATCTCAATAAGCTCCTTGGTAATGACGGCTTGACGGGTACGGTTGAACGTCAAGGTCAATTTGTCAATCATCTCAGCTAGAAAAAAATTAAGATTGGAATTTAAACATATAATAACTACTCAAATACAGATAAAGAGAAGCTGTATGAACAGAATTCCAAATAGTCTTGGTAAATCCATGCAAACAAGAGGCTTACTGCATTTTTCTGGTTTTTCCCCTACGGGTAACACCGCTAGTAGACAATCTAGAAACTTGGTAATTTGACTTGAGGCCTCAGAGTTAAACATTTGAAGAACAGCTGACAGACTAGCAAATACCATGGTATGACATCATGTATATTAACATAACACAAGCATGCATTATTTGCTTTTAAATTAGATTTCACTGTCAATTAACTACATTGGTATTTCCTTCAAGTTATTGCTGTCCTGGCAAAGGGAGCCAGAGTTTTTTGACATTTTTTTCCTTCATTTTTTTTTTTTTTTTTTTTTTTTAAACGCAGACAGTATCATCTCTTTCTCTTAAGATAAGGCAGTCAGCAGAGAGCCATACTTACAGTTCCAGGTAGCCCAATTGCACATCACATCAGCTTCGCTCAGTCACCAGTATCCTTTATGCAACATTACTTTCTTAGGACTGAAGTCTTATCACCATGCCATGTTAAAAGCTATTAGCTGTCTCCCAAAAATACCAACTGCATACTCCCTGCACTGCACTCAATTTGGACACCTTCCAAGAATACTTGCATATTCTCAACTTGTTGCATGACAGGTGGTAAAGTATTTCATCATTGTTTCAGTTCCCCCACCTTTAAATTGGTGTAGTACTAATTAGTTTGGGCTCACAAGTAGGTAGAGGTTTATAAAAATTCTGGAAATCCTCAGACCAGCCACGTGAGAAGAGCATAAAGAATTTTTGGCCATTACAAGATTAGTATTATTTCATATTCTTATTAAAGAATCTGTTATTTCACTTCCAGTTACCTAGTCTTGTTTCTCATATACTTGACAGCAATCCCTCTTTCCAAAGACTAAATAAGGTTCACATGTTCAGAAAAGAATCCCATTTGAACTGGCTCAAAAAAACCAGACTCAAAATGGTATTAGGAGAGAAACCAGCTCATTTCTTATAATTTTGGAAACAAAGAATTACACAAAGGGAGGTCGGTACTTTCATGCTAAACTACAGAAGTCCCGGGAAGCCGACAGTGTAGACTTACAAGCATTTTTGCTAGCGTTGTCCATAGCGGTCATCCTAGCACTCTGCTCGCTGGTGGTGGATTCTTTCAGGGAGTAGTACAGAATATTTGCTAGTGTAAATTCCTGGTAGTTTCTCAGCACATCAGCATCAATATCATCATAGATACTCAGACTTTCTGTAAAATATGAAAAAGCGGACTTGGAGAAATCCAAGACACACTACTTCTAGCAAAACAAGACAATGCCATGCGAAAGACTACTAGGCTAGCCTGTTTCTCTACTTAAGGCAACGCAGAGGGGTTTTCTCTATGTACTATGTGTACTTTCGTAACAAAATTTTAAGTAGCACACAGATTAAGTATTTTATGTGTTTTCATTCAATATAATAGCAGGAAAGTCAGATTCTGACAAAGGCCAAATACATTATTGGTGTATTAGGTTTAATCTTCCCATACAATGTTGCAGAAACATTCTGGGGTGTTTTTACTGAGTAGTGCAAAGTCACTCAATGCCCAGGCCGTTCGGTGCTGAGAACACTCAAACTGAGAGAGTTCTGCATATGCACAACTCTTGCTTGAGAAAGAATCTCAAACCAAAATTGGTATGACCTTTCTTTTTAACCTCCCTGCCCCACAGCACCTTGATAGGTCAGCCTTGGACTGCCAAAATAAAACAATCTGGTAAACTTATGACACATAGAATCATAGAATCATTAAGGTTGGAAAAGACCTCTACGATCATCGAGTCCAACCGTCAACCCAACACCACCATGCCCACTAAACCATGTCCCTAAGCGCCTCATCTACACATCTTTTAAATACCTCCAGGGATGGTGCCTCCACCACTTCCCTGGGCAGCCTGGTCCAATCTTTAACCACTCTTTCAGTAAAGAAATTTTTCCTCACATCCAATCTAAACCTCCCCTGGCGCAACTTGAGGCCATTTCCTCTCATCCTATCGCTTGTTACTTGGGAGAAGAGACCGACACCCACCTCGCTACAGCCTCCTTTCAGGTAGTTGTAGAGAGCGATGAGGTCTCCCCTCAGCCTCCTTTTCTCCAGGCTAAACAACCCCAGCTCCCTCAGCCGCTCCTCATCAGACTTGTTCTCCAGACCCTTCACCAGCTTCGTTGCCCTTCTCTGGACACGCTCCAGCACCTCGACGTCCTTCTTGTAGTGAGGGGCCCAAAACTGAACACAGTATTCGAGGTGCGGCCTCACCAGTGCCGAGTACAGGGGCACGATCCCTTCCCTACTCCTGCTGGCCACACTATTTCTGATACAGGCCAGGATGCCATTGGCCTTCTTGGCCGCCTGGGCACACTGCCGGCTCATGTTCAGCCGGCTGTCGACCAACACCCCCAGGTCCTT